ATCGGCCAGCAGGTCTGTCTGATGTAGAAACTCTGGTTCTTTGTTCCTTAGTTCTCTGCCTGACTCCTCAATGGACAACCAAGGAGTCTCTCTCAATTTCTCTCTCTCTCTCTCAAGAGATGGGAGTCTCCCTATGTTTGCCCAGGCTGGCTTCGAATTCCTAGGCTCAAGCGATCTTCCTCCTTCAGCCTCTCAAGTAGCTGGCACTATAGACACATGCAACCAACTACACAGGTTATTTCTTGCAAAAACCCTTAAACAAGGCTAGACAATTTTAAGCACACAGTTCATGGAAGTATTACAGACAGTGACAGGATATGACATCGACTAAAAGATTGTGGAAGTTCTCACAGGTTCTCAGAGGGAAAGCAAATTTGAGCAAGGAAGTTCAGGCATGATACCTATGCCAGTCAACTAATCACTATATAAATTGTTACTCAGAGTGGGAAATGAGGTCCTCCAACTAGCTGCATGAGCATCACCTGGAAACCTGTTAGAAAAGCGGAGTACTGGGGTTCATCTAAGACCGACAGAATCAGAATCCACATTTTAATAAGATCCCCATGTGCTCCATATGCACATTAAAGTTTGAGAAGCACTGCTCTAAAGGGGGTTGGGATTCTTTAGAATGAGGGGAACAACATTAAATAGAAAATAAAGGGTAACCAATTAGATATCTTGTGATTTCAACATATGATTAAGGTGAATTTCCCTGCCAATCCCATCACTCTCCAAGGGATGAAGCACTTGTTAAACCACATTACCTCTACCTTCCTGTAGGAAGCCAGACACACATAAACACTGGGATTAATACTAGAAAAACAATCCGAGAACTATCTTCCTATTTGGTAGGTTTTGATACCCAATGTATTAGTCTGTTTTCACACTGCTATAAAGACACACCCGAGGCTGGGTAATTTATAAAGGAAAGAGGTTTAATTGACTCACAGTTCCACCTGGCTAGGGAGGCCTCAGGAAAAACAATCATGGTGGAAGGCAAAGGGGAAGCACCTTTACAGGTGGCAGGAAAGACAGAGAGAGAGAGAGTAAAGAGGAAGAGCCCCTTATAAAACCATCAGATCTCCTGAGAACTCACTATCACAAGAACAGCATGGGGGAAATCACACCTATGATCCAGTCACCTCCCACCAGGTCCCTCCCTCAACACCTGGGGATTACAATTTGAGATGAGATTTGGGTGGGGACACAAAGCCAAACCATATCACCCTGTAAATATCATCTGAATTTATTTAATAATTTAATAAAGCTGTTATGACAAGAGTCATTAATAATAACAGAAAGTTGCCATTTGTGGGGCACTTGGAATGCATGTGCTGGGCACTGTGCTAAATGCCTTACAAATACTTTAATTCTCACAATAATTCAATGAGGTAGGCATTTCTAAAAATATCTTTTACAGATGAGGAAACAGACACAGAAAGGGCAAGCAATGTGTCCTAAGTTCCTCACAATTAGAAAATGGCCACCAAAATTCTGGTACTATTTTATTGTTTCAAAACTGGAAAGATATGATAAATCACTTTAAAAAAGAAGACGCTGGAATCACTACAGTAGGGATTATCAAAATTTTTATAGGGAGAAAATCTGAAGATAGAATACTTACATAGAATATGTCTATGAGAAATTCACAACATGGAACAAAAATAACAATTCAAAATCCCAGATTCCTAAACTATTGTTTCCCTATTTACTAATAACTTTACTCATAACCTATATTTACATTTTCCATAATTCCATCAAAAAACATTTCAAAGTTACTAAAGTTAGAAAAATCTAATACTCTAGGAATACCATTTGTAGTAGCTTAGATAGAATTTATAAGAGCTATTGCCTTTTATGAAAGTTATTTTTGTGAAAGATGCAGGAAAAAAATACCACTTAATGCAGAAGTAAATCATACACACGGAAAAATCAGCAAAATAACCCGTACATTTTACCTGCTGCCTTAGGCAGTAATATTCAAGCCTATTTCCTTAATTACATAAACTAAGGTTAGGGTAACTGAAAGGTTCAATTTAGGTCTGTAATAAAGAAAATGATACAAAACAGCTATCAAAAGCCTAGGTAGCCAAAGTAGCATTTCTATATTAGGAAATCCAGCTGCAACTGAGAAACATCTCTCAAGGGATAAAGTGAGCAGACCAAAATCTGCATTAAAGCAAATAAGATGTCAGGGGCATCCAGTCTCACTCTCACATCCTGGAAGCCAGTGGGTACAATCAGAATTCTAGAGAATCCCTTAGCTTTAAGGCCCAAATAATTTTAGGAGCTCTAGTTCCCTGGATAAAGGATGATGTTGATAACTGCTTGTTTTCAATATATAGGTCACTGTATAAGTTCTCTATATTATTATATAAGTTTGCTATATATATTATCTCTTTTTTTTGTTTGTTTTGTTTTTTTTTTTTGAGACGGAGTCTCACTCTCTTGCCAGGCTGGAGTGCAGTGGCGCAATCTTGGCTCACTTCAACCTCTGCCTCCCATGTTCAAGTGATTCTCCTGCCTCAGCCTCCCCAGTAGCTGGGACTACAGGCGTGTGTTACCCTGCCCATCTAATTTTTGTATTTTTAGTAGAGACAGGGTTTCACCATGTTGGCCAGGATGGTCTTGATCTCCTGACCTCGTGATCCGCCCTCCCCGGCCTCCCAAAGTGCTGAGATTACAGGCGTGAGCCACCATGCCCGGCCTATATATATTATTTCATTTAATCTTTACAATGGACATGAGTACTATCATTATCTCCATTTGATAGAAAGGTTAAGATACTTGCCTTTGGTCACATAGCTGGTAAGTGATGATCTGACAATGAACTGAAGTAGATGTGATACTCTCATCTTTAGCCACTAGGATATACTGTCTCGGAAGCACACACAGGCAGAAGAGAAGTTTGCAAATGTGCAGTGGTTGAAAAAAACTGGAAACAGTTCTGAGGATCTTTCCTAAACTGGCCTAAGGCAGAGGTCTAAAAGGTTATCATTTTTTCATTCTAGGGTCTCTAGACTCCCATTCCATGAGTAAAGAAACTGAGTAACTCAGTTAACTTCTCGTGAACTTAGGGTTCTCGTTTGTAAAAACAACCACAGGCAAAAAACAAGAAGGCTGAGGATCACTAAGATTTCTCCCAGCTTTAAAAAGTTCCTCTTCTAATTCTCCTCAGTACTTCGAAAATGTTACTACTCCTAGAATTAGTTATTAACAAGTCGGAAACATGAATTAATGCAAATTGATTGATTTCTTCTTGGAAGAGAATCCTAGGCCCTGGAAAGAGCCATAGTAATGAAAGAAAAGAAAGAAAATTAAAAAGGGGAGAAAATGCATACACATATACACAAGTATACTTGTTTTATTTGGTATGTTTTGGACTATTTTGGCAATGGCTTTTAAAAAGTATTTCTCCTTAAAAAAAAAAAAAAAGAGCTACTCTTGCTTGCCTTGTAGAGCATTGCCCAATTTTTCTTGGAGCAAGTAAAGGAAGACTGAGAGCCATCAGTTATCAAATTCACATACTTTCCAGTTTTGCCCGGTGCCTGGGAGTATGGCTGTACTGTTGATCTTTCTTGCAGTCCAGGGAGTGGAGAGCTATTGTTCCTCAAAATTCTCTCCGCCCAGATGGGAATAGGTCAACAAAATGGATTAGGCAAATTCCCCTAACACCTATTTCTCCTCATGCAAAGTGCTGTTGCTCCGCAGCTTACTGCGTAAATGTCAGACCTCAGAGAGCTCAACTCTGTTCCCATGGTAGAAGAGGTCCCCAGTCAACTGACCACTCCCAAGGAACTCTACAAGGCTCCAGGATGTGAACGCAAGAGACAGGGTTCCTGACGCAGCCTGAGATTTGAGGAGCCTCAACAGGAATTCCCACAGTGGCCCCACACCATTAGCGTGAGGCAGTACAGGGTTCCTCCAGGAATTCGCGGCTTTTAAGGCACGATCAAGGCTCTCTGGGGGAGCAATGGAATCCTAGTAGGATACAAACAACTTGGGGTTTCTAAACACCTCCGCCTCGAATGGAGATCCAAGGCCCTCAAGTGGAATTTCTCAACAGATCAACTTGCAAGAGTGAATTTTGTATTCATAACAAAAGCAAACCCAAAACCAAATACAGTACAAGCACAATAAAACAAATCAACTCTATTCTCTCCCAGTTCTCTCCGACCCAACCTATAACAACCAGCTCCCAATTTCAAATTTTAAAAATGCTTAATTTCTAATTTTAACAGCGTTTTCCTCCCCTCTGGGCAGGCTTTAGTCGCAGCAAATTTAAGCATGGGAAAATTTACACCTATATCAAGAACATCACTGGATAACAGGAATCTACATATTAAAAAGTTCAGTGCAAACTGATCAGGCCATCAAATCAGATTTTGCTAAGAATGATTCCTTTCCTCCCAGAAGTTCTGTGACCACTTTTCGAAGAAGTGCGGCAAAGCCCCGCTTAGTTTGCTGGGACCCTCCAGGAGGACCACACAGCGCTGGTCCCCGGACAGGACGGTTGACAACAACCAGCCCCTCACAACCGGTGCAGTTCGCAGGGGGTGGGGGATCGGGATTAGCTCTGCGCTTGGAATCTCCATCTCGCTGCTTCCCCCATTTTCACTCCTGTCCCCAATTCCGCCCTTGCCACCCCCAGGTCTGGACCCCGTCTCGAGACCTCATCCCCACCCCCTCCACCTCTGAAAGCCCAGACACCTGCTCATACCTGCGCCTCATTGTCCTCCGTCACCACCCCAACCACCGGGATTTGACTGGAACTGCTAGACTTGTTCCTGATGCCGGATTCCCGGGCCTCGGCAGTCGCCGCGGCTTCCTTCGTCCACATGGCCTGTGGCGGCGGGGTGGAGAGTTGTGGGATCTTCCTGTCCTACAGCGCGCCTGCAGCCGCTGGGCCCAAAGAGGCCCCGCCACTGAGAAGGGAAGGCAGCCTGAGAGTCGCTAGAGTCGCGAAAGGTCCCAAAATTCCGCCAGGGGCCTAGGCCACCGCCATACAGTCCGCTTAGCGCCGCGGCCGCCCCTCAGCTGTCGCAGGCGTCTGATATCCGGCCGGTTGTTAACACAAGCCAGCGCGTTGCTAGGGGGCGGGGCCAGAGGCTACGGACAGCCGGAGAGCCAAACCACCTGAAAGCCTAATTGCACTCCGCTCCTGGCAGGGCGGGTTTGCAGGGTTGCGGTAAGGAGCCTGCAGGAGGCACCTTGGTAGGCAGCGGGGAGTGGTGCCTTAGGCGCCCAGTGTGTTTCGGTCTTGATAGTCTTGCTTCAAACAGGCATGAGTGGGTGGAGGGGTGAGGGATGTCTATGGCATACCTTAGGCGTGATACGATGGACGGATAGTGTTGAAAGCGTTTCTCTCACCCCAGGGAAATGACCAGTTTTGCTTACATTCCCCAGCTTTTGTCTGTACTTTAGTGGCCCAACTAGATAGTTAAACAAACATAAAAGGTATTGTACAAAATGTTAAAAAGGCTTTTGAGTCAGATTATTGAATGTAGAGCGAGTTATCCCTGGAAGTCCCACTTTTCTCATCTGTAAAAGGACTGTTGTGAGGATTGAATGAGATGACAGTGTTTGTTAAGTGGTGCTTGGCATAGCACCCCTTATGGTCAAGATTATCATTATCTTTATTACTGCTTGAGAACTAAAAATTAAATCCTAAGCCCCCCGACCAACTGAACGGACCCCCTTTTGGCCAAGGGGACCCCCGATAAACCTTAAAAGCTGAATTCCTGGCCCTGACAGGACGGAAGGACGGACACGCCTCGCTATAACCGCCAACCTCCTCCCTTTTCACGCCCCCACACACTCCTCGTTTTTGAGACATGGTCTACTGTGTGCCCCAGGCTGGAGTGCAGTGGCAGGATCGTAGCTCTGCAACCTCCAACCCCTGGCTCAAATGATCCTCCCGCTTCAGCCTCGGGAATAGCTGGGACTACAGGTGCACATGCCACCAAGCTCGGCTCCCCGTCCCTTTGAGGGCTTAGACTCAACAACTGACGAGCATTAATGTTAAAATAGAGATCAGAAGGCTAACAGAATGGACTCTGTGGCAATAACAAATTATAGGCAAGACCTAAGGCCATGCCAGGCAAGAGTTAAGTCACTCACACCTACACTTAAAGAATAACCTATGTTTTAACTGCTGCAATGTTTTTCTTTTTCTCTAGCTGCTAAATAAGAACTGCTCTCGACATAAGCAATATTGAAGTAATTGCAGCTCATCCATGGCCAGATGTTGACTAACAAGATCCTCCTGTTCCACAAGTCATAACTGCAGGTTTGATTGGACAAGGGACTGATTCAGTACCTTTCCCCTGATAAAAGACCACCCACCATGGACTGGTTCTGGCAGGTTTACAGAGACCAAGTACTAGTACATTCACGTCTCTGCTTCTCCTTTTGATGTATAGGGACTTAATGCATTTAAATGTTAAGTTTCCACTCCACAGTGAGCACAGGATGCATGTCACATGCATGTTTATTCAGCACCCCTCTTAGTGAAGATTCACAGCTCCTCTTAAATCTGTTGAATATGTCTGTTTAGCCAACTCATTTGGCATAAAGCTTCTGTTCCAACCCCACCTCCTTCAAAGTGCCTGTTGACTGTCTCTGTGGGAGCATGGGCTTCCCAGCCTGCAGAATGGCCAGCCTGCAGGTTGTAACTCATTATAAGAAATAAAGTCTCCTTTCTAAATTTATAGATCTCATGATTTTTCAGTTGACATGTTGTTGCCTATCCATTGTAGCCTGAATAATAATACAAGAAGGGTCACGACTATAATAGAAAGCTTCTCATGATGATCATCAGTATAATTTAATAACTCAAACACCATAACTGTGAAAATTGAGAAAAACTTTGACTCTTTTAATCTGTTTTTTAAACTTTCAAAAATTATTCAAGATTTAAATGTACATTTTTGTATCGTCCATAGAATTTATGAATTTAAAATCACGTATAAACTCAATGAAAATAAATATTACTTCATTTCTCAGGACTTCTCATTTCTAGAATGAGGTTGATAAGTGATTTTGAAGGTTCCTTCTACCTCAGACGTTGAATATTTCTGGCCCTAAAAGAAAAATGGGAACACTAGATTGGGACTGGCAGCACTTGATTGTAAATCCTAGCCAAAGAGACCGAGTTTTGTTGAGAGAGTAGTGAGCACTTCTAGCACCTGTTTCCACACTTCTAGTCATTCTTCCACTTTTCTCATTCTCAGCCTTCTGAAACTGAGATCACTGACACTTGGGGTCAAAGTCTATTAACACTTTCCATTTCTCATCCTGTTGTACTAATCTGTAGTATTTTACATTGTTGACCCCTCTCCTCTTTTTCCAACCCCCTTGCCTAGGCTTCCACATTCTTTTTGTTTTTCTTTCATCTCTACAGCTACTCATTGGTATCTATGGGCCCAACACACTTCTGCTGCACCACTCTGCTACCTAGCTACTGATCGATATCTCTTTAGAACCACTCTTAGGCCTTACATCTAGAGGGCAGTTTAGTAGGTCTAAGGTTGCTTCCACCTAGGGAAAGTGCAAACTGTGTTAAGTGTTTTATTCATATGACCTTAATTGCTGTTACACAGTCCAAGTAAACCACATCAAAAGGAGACCAAAACTACTTGGATGAACACAATGGAGTCCTGTGAGAATGGCATCCCAGACCAAGATGGTGGCAGAGAGCTGACAACTGGATTATTTGCATATCTTTTGTGTGGTCATCCTAGCATCTCAGGATCAGGAAAGATGAAGAGGAGGGAGGGGAAAGGAAAAATTTCCACTTAAAGTAGAGCTTGCCTAGGAGACAGCAACTGATTCTTGTATTTTAACACCACAGGCTGAAGCTGATAAGGGTCTTTAAGCCTCAGTGACCTTAGACAGGCACCTTCCTCACTGGACCTAACTGAAGAGACTTTCCTGACTAGTGAACAATGAGATATTTATTTTATTTAACCAACGGCGTAGAGACCTATATATTCATTCTGCCCTATATCCAGAGTGCCAGTTTCCAATGCTTAATTAGCATAAGCCCCATGAGCTCCCCACTTCTAACATTTCAAAACCCCTGACTTTCCCTCCTCAGTGAAATTCTTCACGGAGTAAGTTCTCTTGCTTGGCAAGTTAATAGACTCAGCTTTGTAATTTTTTTTTTTTCTAGCTCTAATGGTATTTGTTTTACTCATGGACAGGTGAGAAGGACAAGGATAGAGAGGTCTTCAAACACCCCACAGCCAGCCATCTTGGGTGAATTACTGCAGTTTTCCAAAGGTGCCAGCAGGATTCCTCCTGCATAACATTTGCTTTATGTTGTACATGCCACTGTCTTCAGATGGCTAATCCCTATGAAATTCAGTTCACATGACATTTTCTAGGAAATCTTTACATCCTCTGTGTTGGGTGCCACCTTGTCTGTCATTCTGTTTTTGTACTCATCACATACTTAATGGTATCAACTGGTTCAGCAACTGGATCCCTTCCTACTGTACTGAGATTCTTGACAGTTACTGTGATATGCACCCCAGACCCTCAGCATACTGTCTAGAGCAGTAGTTTTCAAAACCTAAAGTGTATCAGAATCATCTGGAGAAATAGTTAAAACAGAATCTTGAGCCCTACCTGCAGAGTCTCTGCTTCAATAAGTCTGGGTGAGGCCCAAGGATATGCGTTTTTAACCAGTTCCCAAACAATGTTGATGTTATTGGTCTAGAGAACATACTTTGGGACTTCCTGGTCCATATCATACTAGTTACTCAAAAAATGTTCATTAAAAGATTTCAAGGATTATAAATTACTTTTTATTTTGATTTGAAGCCAAATTAAAGCATTTTGTAAGTTATCCAAAGTAAGGTAAATACTCCACGTCCTTGCTACTCAAAATGGGGTCCTTGGGTTACCTGCACTGGCATTACTAGGGGCTCTGTTAGGAATGGAGACTCTCTTGCCCCGTGGTGGACCTACTGACTCAGAATCTCCATTTTAACAAGATCATCAGGTGATCAGTACACACATCAAAATTTGAGAAGCATTGCTCGTGTGTGTGTGTGTACTTGTGTGTGTGTGTTGTCACTATTATTGCTTTGGAGTAGTTTTAATGGCCTCCATAAAATTGGCTTTCACTAATTATTCCATTTGTGGATTTTCCAAGTCCTTTGTTCCTAAATAATACTGGGTTTACTTTTCTTCTTGGTAAGTGCACAAAGATTAAGCTTCATGAAAGCTTTAACTGTTTATATTAGGTATGTTGACTTAATTTTAATCATTATTCATTGATTCTTCTGTTATGACACAAAAACGCAGAAGGGTGAAAGGGTGAAATGACTACTGAAGGAGTAAATTATTTCAGCAAAAAGATAGAGAAACATGAGAAATGAGTTATACCTAGAGAAGAGAAATGCTTGAATCTGGTAACAATTCTGCAGAATTTAGTATCTCTGTTAAGTTACAAATTGCAATTTCTTAGTAGCACCTGTAGACTTAAAGATTAACTGGAAGTTTTAATAATATATTGACTTACAATTTTTACTTTTAGAAGTAACAAAGAAAGCTAAATATGTTTTAAAATAAATATATTACAAATTGTGGTTCTATTTTCCTTCTGATTTTTTCTTGTTTATACTCTGCCTAATTAGCAGTGTTTAGTAAAATTATAATTATTTCTAATTATATGAATAATTATATATTCTTGAATTAAGAATGTGTTTAATAAGTATTTTAGACTACATATGAATTTGGTAGTCTCTAATGCCAGATGTTCTACAGATGTTCTAAATGTTCAAGCAAATGTTATTCCTTTCTTAATTAGAGTAATTTATTTTAAATAAAGAATGTTTATAGCACATATGAAATCTAATCATAGTTTTTAATAGGATAGCTTTAGGGAAATTCTGTAACAGAAGAAATGCATACAAAACTAGAGTTTATTACACTTAATTTTTTTTTTTTTTTTTTTTGAGACAGGGCTCACTGTGTCACCCAGGCTGGGATGCAGTGACATGATCTCTGCTCGCTGCAGCCCCAACCTCCCTGGGCTCAGGTGATCCTCCCACCTCCCACCTCTCACCTCCCACCTTAGCCTCCCGAGCAGCTGGAACTACAAGTGCATGCCACCATGTCTGGCTAATTTTTGTTATTTTTTGTAGAGATGGGGTTTCACCATGTTGTCCAGGTTGGTCTTGAACTCCTGAGTTCAAATGATCTGCCCACTTTTGCCTCCCAAAGTGCTAGGATCACAGGCGTGAGCCACCACTCCCAGCCTATACTTCACTGTTTTAAAAAATTTTTTCAGGTTGACAGCATAGAAACAAGGCCTAAAAACAAAACAAAAGTAATTACGTCTTTCCAACAGAATCATTAATGCACATTTGGGAAGAATAAGTACGTGGAACAGAAAACGAAAGTAAAAGAATAGTCACCCCTGAAGTCAACCATTCTGATGAAAATTATACCAACAATAACCCAAACTGCAAGTGATTTTTAAGTAGGAAGCTGCAGGAACTACTCATGTTTAGTGGAAAAGTAAACAGATTATAATAAATGAAAAGAAGAATTTATAAAGCGCTACTTTTACCCAATCAAAGCTTCAGTTCCATGACATGGGAATAATTATATGAAAAAAATGTTCCTGAGATTTTAGAATAACTATTATTGTGTTTAAATGGTGGGTGGTTATAGTGCAATTATCCCAGGATGGAACTGTCTTTATTGTGGAGCAAGATTAATCAGACAAGTTTGTTCTAATGACATTAATTATTTGAGTTCTATATCTAAATTGACTTGTTCTGATTCTGTGAACCTTGTGTTAGTTTTTGAGGACTGCTGTAACAAATACCACAGACTGGGTGGCTTTAACAACAGAAATTTATTTTGTTACAGTTCTGGAGGCTAGAAGTTGAAGACTAAGGTGCTGGCAGGATTGATTTCATCTTGAGGCATCTCTCCTTGGCGTGCCGTCTTCTCCCTTTTACTTCACGTGTTCTTCCCTCTGTGCATGCCTGATTCCTAATCTCCTCTTCCTATGAGGACACCAATCATATTGGATTAGGGCCCAACTGTATGACCTCACTTTACCTCTTTAAAGATCCTGTCACCAAATACATTCTGAGGTAGTGTGGGAGTTAGGATTTCAATGTAGCAATTTTTAGGAAATTCAATTCAGCTCATAACAGATCCCAATATATTTTGAATTATAACTTGAATTCTTATAAACAGCAGATTCAAGAAAAGAGTATGTTTAATTAAGGCACAAATGGTATTCTTGACTACAGGACACTGATATTTCACACAGTAGTACTAAGTTACTATTCTGATTTAACAGTGTATCACTGTACATTTGATCAATGTGAATCTGCCCATGAGGGGTTTCTCTACTCTCAGGGGTCTTAACAAATCTGGATTTTGAGTCTGCAGGGTCCTGTGCCTGACTTTCTCAAAGTCATCATTTGTCTCTTGTTTCACTTCCCATTGGAAGAATCCACTACCTAAAGTACTGTACTAGTCTAGGTTCCCCAAGCCTGCCATAAATAAACACCAACATTCACCTGCTGCCACTCTGTGGGGAGTACTATCTCTGAGAAACAGAAGTGAGGAAAAAAATGGAAGTGAGGCACTAGGAGAAGGGAACACAAACGCAAGTGTTACTGAGCTGGTTATAGGTGGCAACAAGTGCAGTTAATTGCTCGGTCTTTGAGGAGATTTT